TTGAGTTAGATTTTACAAGAAATCAAGTGAGAGAAATGGATTGACAAGAGAATTAAGTTAGAATTGGAGAATTTGTAAGTCATTCCATACATGCATGTGTATTTATAGTATTTTGAAGTTTGTTTTCAAAGATTTTCTCCATGCATGTTGTAATTCTAGCATAAGTAGAAGAATTGATAACATTTCTCATCAATGGACCACATTTGATCATGTTCTAGAAGCCATGAACTCAAGTGAACACATGCATGTCATGTTCATACCATGTTTTTACATTTCAAGTTGAATTTTTGTATGTTTGACATACTTTTCAGCCTTGATTTCATGAAATGATCTTCAAACCATGATATTTTACAAGTTCTTAGATGTTTTCCAAAATTTTGGCCCAAGAGGATGAGTTTTGAAATGTGGAATTTGACCTTGGAACTTGGGAGTGCAATCTAAAAATTCCAGATTTTGCACTTCCACTCGAGCGTTGGATTCTACGCTCGAACGGAGACTCTGTGATCCTGCACTTTCGCTCGAGCGACCAGAAGTTCGCTCGAGCGTGGAATGCATGCTCCCAGAAGTTCATGTGTTTTGCAAATCGCTCGAACGACCCTAGTCATGCTCGATCAAAGGTTTGAGCCTCACACTCGAGCAAGGATCGAGCGTCCGTCGAGCATGAAAATCAAGCAACCAGTACTTTTCTCAAAGTTGCAAACCGCTCGAGCGAGGGAAGTTGCACTCGAGTGGACCCTTACATTTTACATGTCCGCTCGAGCGAGAAAAGCCACGCTCGAGCGTGAACCCTATTTTCAGCAAGTTTTGAAAAATGTTTTCAAGTACATTTTTGCATTCTCATTCCATCCTAGGCATTCTTAGGCCAAGATTAAAACATTATAATGAGGATAAAGGCTAGAAACACACTTAGGACAATGAGTTATGTGCCATTCAAGCGTATATTTCAATGTATGTCTCTGTCATGTTATGTAGGTCACGCGCCTCGAGTTACGTGAATTACCTACTCTACTCGTCTACTTGGAGCCATCTGTTAATAGTGAGTAATAACTTTGTAAAGTTATGTTTAAATATAAGTATTTTCTGACTGATATGATATGATCTGTTCTCTGAAATGCTATTTTATGAAACATGAATGAATGTCCATTTTTTTGAAATGTATTTGTGGCATCCTTAGTTCACGTGGCCCTTGCCCGGGGGTAACAATACCGTGGCTTATGTTCACGTGGTCTTTACCCGAGGGTAACAATATCAAGGCCTCTATTCACGTGGCCCTCACCTGGGGGTAACAATACCATGGCTATTTGTGCGCAAGATATGGACCTTTATGGTTGTCGGTACCGACTATACATGTGAGTCTTAGGACCAAGTTGATATGATAACTAATGGATGTACCATGTATGATCTTATGCAAAAAAAATCCGAATATGAATATGAATATGAATATGAGTATGAGTATGAACATGTATATGATCCTATTTCTAACTTGAACTTTGATTTCTAACTCTGTGATGGACATCATTCGTTAAAACCCTTTGTAGACGCGCCCGAACGTCCTGGGAAAATCCCATTTTGTTCATTGGGCTCATAGTGAAATGAATCTAATCTCGCAAAGTGCAATGCAAGATCGATAAATCACCAAGAGTCTAAATCCGGCAAATTGTTTTATAAAACTGATTTTAGAAAGAAGTGCCAAACATAGACTGTTTTGCCAGATACAGAGTCGCCACCTAAATATTTTATTTTGGGGGAATTTAGGAAACCCTGACTCTTGCCTAAGGCCACGTGTCCATCATCACCAAAGTTGCCTCGGCTCGGAAACTTGGGTACGATTGGGGAAGGTCATTTCATGAGCACCCCCGCTCGCCCGATCAAAGATCGGCCACTACTAAACATGATATCTTATTTTTAAAAACACATGTGCTCTTATTCTAGTTATTAACCTAGAATCACTATGTGATGCGCTCAGCATACAAGTATAGACTGGATTGCCTAAGTTGGAACAAAGCATCGCACATCCGTTTATTTTGAAAATGGATTGAAGTTTGATACTCACAAGTAGGCTAAAACCCGGGTTTCGACGAATTATTCCAACTCAAGCAACCCAACCTTCACCCACAGGCATTCAGACAGTTATATCACATAAGCACATAGCCTCATGGTAAGCATGCTGTCATGGCAGTCACTCACACACATGTAAGGATGCTAAAGCATAAACACTTACCGAGTACTCCGAGCCAAAGAAAGAAGCTAATTAGAAATCGTGCATGAATCCTAACTATGCTAAGAAAGCCTAATGCAATACATGCAAAAATGCAATTACAATAGGCTCGGCTAGTCTAAGATGGCATATGAGATGCAACAATCGATACACGTATTCAACTTGGAATTAAAATACAATGCAGTTAGCATGATGCGCCGAGCCCGGTGCATGCAATTCAGATGAATGAATGCAAGCATGCGAACATATAGATGCTAATTGAAACATGCCCTAAAACTAACCATCATAAGCTAGTAAATAAAAAGGAGAAAGACGTGGGGTTGGAAGACATGCATCACACATACACACACTTATTACAAAGTTTGCCCTCACGCGGAGGGTCTGAATAAATAATACAGAACCAACTAGCTAACCTAAGCTAATTAAACTAGTTATTACACAACTGAAATGAATAACGAATTACAGCTAAATATTACACAACATTAATTAATTAACAAATTAAACTAAGGAAGCAAATAAATTAGCATGCAAGCTACATGAAATGGATTGCCTCAGCTCTGTTCCGAATGAAAAAGGATGTATGCATGCCCGAGTCACCTTGTCGGGAAATCCATCGCGATGTCCCAACTCGCCTTTGTTTGCGATTGAACTCAGAAACTTGCACCAAGCTCCAGAAGGCTAAAACTCCACCCTGGGAATCTGTGGGAAGCTGCTGACCAGCTTATGGGCATGGGAGACCACCTGCCGACCACCTTCTGTGGCAGAAACCAAAAAGGGTGGTCAGCCTGCCAGAAAAGCTGGTCGGCCGACTAGTTTCTGTCTTTGGTTTCTGGATTTTCTGTAACAAAGGCAAGAGAAAGAGAAATCAAGGTATTTGCAACACATGTGTGCACGACCACTCTCTCTATCATTGCATAAGCTCTAGGGAGTGTAGTCCTCGATCCTCGGGCCATCAATCATGCATCTCGATGCATGATGGCCGAGGAGTCGAATTGCACGACTCAATGGGACATGAATGCACATATAAGCAACTAAAACCAACAACTCCATCATGGATGGTAATGAGTGTCAGCGACCGGGAATCGAGACACGTTTCATAACTTGGAGTATGAAACGTTCCTCCTTTCCCGTGTTTAGACTAACTCCTATTCCAAACACAATGCCACAAGTAGAATGGCAAGGCATGTACAAATGCAACTCTAGTATGCAATCCTAAATGTAATGCGACTAAGTGATGTAAACATGCAAAGGATGACATGCAAGCATGCAAATGGCATACACAATGCTATAAACTAATCAATGGCATACTCAATGCACATGGATTATATGGCATGCATACACAATGCACTAACACACGCAATGTTATGAACGAGGCATACGCAATGTAATGATCAAACATGCGATAACATGGACTATATGGCATACACAATGCAAGATGGACTTAAACCAAGATGGATGGGCCTTGGCCACACCCAAATCAGTGGCCAATGGATGATGAAATCAAAGCGACAAGACACACACAAACATGCACAATGCAAAGGCTCCAAGCCAACGGCACAAGATACATCTTTTCAAGAACATGGCAAGGATGAAACATGGAACATAATGGCATATATTTCAGCCCTAGAATGGCATACAAAATGGTCCCGAATCATGTAAACAACCCACCCGATGCATGTTGGATGGCACAATTACCGAAACTAGTGAAGTGCATTACACTAGAGGTATGCAAAGCGATGCCCAAATGACAAAACCAATCCCAAACAGTCCCTATGCAGATCCAACACAGTGGCAAAATGGACTAAAATGATGGCTTGCAATGCACCAAAATGAAGCTCATGCAATAGCCCAAAAATGAGGCATACAAGCACAACTCTCAAACGCATTTAAAGAGTGGAAGACATGGGAATATGGCACAAGTATAAGCTCTGAAATAACATGCTTAATGATGCCAAAATATGAAAACAACTCAAGTTAAGCATGCAAGGCGCTTCAAAAGGCAAGGGTATTACACTACAAGCATGCATGACAAGCATCATTCGACCATGGGACCTCAAAAGAGAGCTAAGGCAGCCCAAATCATGAATAAAATCAGTTTGGAACATGCCCAAAATATGCTAGATTCAAGGGCCAAAATAACATGCAATGTGAGCTAGTGAACATAGATTACACTACAAGCATATGAAGCATTCAAGAGGCTACTAAACCAGAAAAAGTTTGAGGCCTGAAATGCCAAATAAAGCCCAAAAATCCACTGAAACATGATCAATGCATGCAAGAATGACATGCTCCTTTAATAGGCTACAAGAGGGGTTATTCTACACATGCAAGAGACCCACCCAAGGTGACAAAACCAACTCTGGACAGAGCCTAGGCAGGTCCTAAAAGTCACTGAAAAGGGCCTGAAACAAGGCTTGGAGGTGTGCAAATGAAGGCTCCTTTGTAAGGCAGACGTATGTTCTAGTTTGGACAATTAATTTCCATGGGTTACTATTGAATCACATCCCTCTTAGGACAATTTACATGGCCTTTTATAAGACATTTCACAAAGAGTGATGCTTGTCATTAATGCCTTGCTAAATAAACTACTTGGTAAGAAAATTACCCATTCTCGCCCAAGGATCCCTGTCCTCAAATATCCCTGTCCCAAATTACTCACAATGAGAATACCAAAATTTAAGAATCTTAAGACAAATCCAATGATTGTGAGTGATTTGAGACATAGGGACAGGGATATTTGGGGACAAGAATCCTTACTATCCGTTCTCGCCATGCATCCCTGCTATATCTGCAGCTTCTCTGAGCGTTGCCCTCTATTCTTCCAGTTATTCTTTCTTTCACCCACTTCTTCCTGTAATCTCTCTTCCGCCTGGAATCTCTCTTCATGCTTCATGAATGCTTCCTTGAAACTTTCCGTTTGATTCTTCACGTGAGATGGATGATAGAAGACAGGTAGGACTACATGTCCTGAGATCCTCCTGCGCTTGAGGATCATTACAAGTTCATCAAGGCACCAAGTTGAAGATGCATAGTGTTTTGAGAAGACAACTATTGAAATTCTCGACTCTTGAATTGCTTTCTGCAACTCAAACTTAATATCTTCCCCTCTTTCAATCCCATCGTCATCTCTGAAGGTGCGAAATTCAGCTTGTACTAAAGCTGTGTAGAGGTGGTCAACGAACGCCTTATGAGCGTCTTCACCTTTGAAGCTCAAGAACACTTGATAACTACATTGACAAGTGGAAGAGAAGGCTTTTTGGTTTCTTACAATCTCCATTGGCTATTAAAGTTCAAGAAAGACCAACTAAGGACAGAAGGGCTAAAAGATGAATGCTATCTGTCAAGGCAACCATGGATTATATATATTAATGAGAGAGTGAGGAAACTGAAATGAAGCTGCTGAGAACAAGGTCATGTGAGAATGTTATGTCCTACTTGATGAGCAGAATTAATAGTTATGAGATTAATAATTTATAAAATTAGCGCATAACTAGTTATTCAGGATTAGTGGTCTAAACAATTCCTAATTCACATATGTTTTGCAATGGGTATAAAAATATATAATTTCAATTATATATTTGTTTGTTGATAAAATATTTATCAAAATCTAATGTGGCTAACAAAAATTAATCAAACACTAGAATGTAAATCCCCATAATTAATAATCTCAAACTTCTACTATGTTTCGCCCAATCAAATAAGTTCTTAATGTACTGAAATGTAGAAATTTAATGATTTTGAGTGTTTTGATGGAGGACATAATTATTTGAAACAGGATATTAGGATTTTGAGACCTCCCCATTTGTATTATGTATATTAGTCTTTCTCTCTTTATTTGTTTCGGGATTCTTTTTTATTTGATTTGTATAATTGTTGAATTTGTTGTATGATTATAATAATATGTTGTGAGATATTTTTATATAATATAATGTAATTCTCACAATAAAAATTTATTTAACAAACATTTTTTCTAATCTTTTCTTTTCTTTTTCAGCTTTTTTTCTGTGTGTTCAATCATACCTACATTCATTTAAAGTTGGGTTGATCAAGTTCAATTGTAAAACTTTATGTATTTATATTTCTTCATTAAGGTTTAAAAAGAAGAATAAAATACTTAATTATGGGCACACCCAAGACAATTTTCAATAGAATTGCAAGTGTGTGACAGAAGCAGAGAGTGAGACTGAGAAAAGGAAAGGAGTAGATACGCGGATTGGTGGAAAGCAGACCAAAATATATTAGGGAGAAACAAATCATGTGGCGTAAAAAAAAGGGAAAGTGGCTCTCTCGTCTTGTTTGGTGTAATTGTTAAAATAGATTATAAATTTTAACTTAATAGATTATAAATTATGATTTTAATCAGAAGTTGTTAATTTATTTGGTGTAACTATTGAATTATACATTTAAGTTGCTAAGTAACATTTGTTAAATAAGTTGTAAAGTAGCTTTTTGAATTAATTTTTATTTTGTTATTTGCTACTTATCTACATTTCTTATAAATAATAATAATAATAATAATAATAATAATAATAATAATAATAACAATCCATTTGAGTCTTTTTTTTAATTTTTTAAAAAATAAAAAATAAAAAAAATCTAATAGTATAACTTTAAATTAACATGTCCACAGTAGAAGCTGATAATCAGAAGTAAGGGATGAGCAGTTTCTTGGAATCAATTTTTTTGAGTTAAAATAAGTTGCTAGAATCAGAAACTGTTTGAAATAAATTTAATTAAACAGTCTAAAATAACTTTTCCAAAATTAAAATCTATAAGTTGGCCAAAATAAGTCACACCAAACACACCCTCTCTCCTCGATTGGAGGGGAGTAGCCACAAAACAATGGGGGTATTTAGTAGGGTTTATTTTAGCTAATTTATAGATTCTAGTTTTGAAAAAGTTTTTTTGAATTGTTTGGTTAAATTTATTTCAAACAGCTTCTGATTCTAACAACTTATTTTAATTCAAAAAAGCTGATTCTGAGAAGCTGCTCACCTCTTGTTTCTGATTATCAGTTTTTGCTGTGGACATGTTAATTTAAGATTATATTCTTAATTTTTTTTTTTAAAAAAAAGAAAAGAAAAAGACCAAAATGGACTATGGATTATTATTAGTATTATTTTTAATGAAAAATGTAAATAAGTAGTGAATAATAAAAAAATAAAAGTTAATTTGCAGCTTATTTAACAAGCACTACTCAGCAACTTAAATTTATAATCCAACAGCTACATCAAACAAATTAACAACTTCTAATTAAAGTCATAATCTATAATCTGTTTTAACAACTATACCAGACGAAACAAATGTAGCATTAGTTCCCAAAAAAAAACAAAAAACAAAAAACAAAAAAAACAAAAATTGTGAACTCATCCTTATATAGTGTATAGATATTTTCATCTCTATATGCAAGACAGTTAAACATGTTTTGGTTTAATTTTAGAATTATAATTTGAGTGTAAAATTATATTTTAAAAAATAAATTTTTTAAATGAGTTTTGAAAAAAGAAAAATTGTTTGGTTATAAGTTTTGAATTATATTTTGAAATTATTATTTTTTAAATATTTAAAAATTTTCTTAATTTTATTTTTTTGGGTAAATATTTTTTATTATAAATATTTATTTATTTTGTTTAATGTGTGTTGTATTTACTATATTTGTGCTCTGTATTTTTTAAAAATAAATTTTTGCCCTTTTTTAAAAAAAAAAAAAAAAAAAAAAAAAAAAAAAAATGTTACCATATTTACTTGCATATGCCTCTAGAAGTAAAGGTTTAATTAGTAAAAAAATAATAATAAAAGTAGAAGTTGGATACAAGGGAGGCTCTAATGTACCTGAGAGTTTGGTTGGGCGCTCCATTTTTAAAATTTTTTCTAATACAATTTTATCCCTCAACAAAATGACAAAAACCTTACCACTTGCCATAAACACAGCTCTGGTCAATCACCCAGCTCTGGTCGCCCCTACCGCCATGCCCCATCATGCCGTTACCATTGGCAGCCCTCCCTCTGCAACTCCCCTATTCTTCTTCTTCACACCCTACCCCGTCGCTCGCCACTAGGGGTATTGATGGCATATTTAGCACCAAACCGATCCTTTCAATTTTCATGGTTAATAAACCGTTACAGACCATATGCCACGGTTCGACTTTATCGATTTTGTCAGTTTGATGTAGAACATAAATTTGCATGAGGTTTTAAAAGGTTTTATAATAGATTAGAAAATTTTATATTGAAAATAAATGAATAACATGCATGAAAATTGCTCTATAAATGTTTCTAGCTAGTTTTTATTATAAAAGTGTATTATATTAGTTACTTATTATATAATTTATCGTATAATGTTTAAGAAATTATAATATAAAAGTATTTAAATATAATATTCAATCGGTTTGGTTTGTATTAGTATAAAATTTTTTAAAATTGAAACAAACCGTATATTATGAAAAACAGACTGGGAACTAAAATTTTAGTCGATTTCGATTGGTCGGCTCGGTTCCCTTGATTTTTCTTACATCTTTAGTTGCAAAGGAAAATTATTTGATAATTTTGAGATAAGTTCACATAATGTCATAACTTCTATTTATTAGTTAAAACAGTGAGACTTCGTATTTTTATTTGGTCATGATAGACAACGTGACCACTGTTAAGTGATAAATAAGTGGAGTATTGCTCTAAAACTATTAAATAACCTCTAGGATTGTGAGTGTGCGAATATTGTTGTTGGGTCACATATTACGTGATGATGGATGAATATTAATAAAATTAAGAGAATATTTTTGATAAATCTATAAGGTTGGCCATTTTTAAGAGACAAAATATTGTATTATTAAGAGAGGATATGTTTATAAATGAGTGTAATTTAAATAAGGATAAAGATATTTAGATGAATATTTGGTAAGACAAGGAAAGATAAATTTAAAATTAAATATATTCATTAAATGATAAGAGTAGTATCAATTGAAGATAAGTTTACAAATAACAAGTTAAGAATTATATGATCACAGACACAAATAGTAGAGGAGAAAACTTAAAAAATTTATGATAGTTCTTGTGTATTATGTGGCGTTGCTTACTTGATGTTATTAACAAATGAGAAATTATAAAATATACTAAGTAAGCCATCAATTATTTTTTAATAACTTAACAATGGTGGGTCAATATTGTTTCATTTGTAAAATTGTCCCTATGATATTGGTTGGGAGCATCACGTGGACAATGGTACATGATACTCTGAAATTATTAAATAATTATGCAAAAGACTTAAATTGGTATGAAATATCCTGGAAAAAATATGGATTTATTTAATCAATTGAACATTTTAACCGTTGAAAAAATAAATTGGCAAACAGAATTTATGTGGACCCTACTCTTACTAAGACACAATGCTTAGTTTGATTTTCTTTGTAATTTATTATTATTTTTGTTTTCATTTACTTTAAATTTTAAGGGTTTTTTTTGGTAAGTACAAAATATTTTAGGCAAGTAATTTTTAGGGACTTTTAATCTAAATCTCCTGTTTTTTTTTTTAAAAACAAAAAAACAAAAAAGGATTATTTACATAGAAATCCCCTAAACTATTAAGAAGTATCACTTTGACTCCTAAATTATAAAAGTGTACAAATGGATCTCCTAAACTATTGAGAGGTATCACTTTGCCCCCCTAAATTATAAAAATCTACAAATGGACCCCTATTGGTTTGTTTCACTTTGATTCCTTTCGTTAACAGTCTAATTTGTACGTTTTTATAATTTAAGAATATCTGTACGCTTGTATAGTTTAGAGAAAAAAGTTATACTTACCAATAGTTGAGGGGGTGTATTTATACACTTTTATAGTTTAGGGTGTCAAAGTGATAGTTCCAAATAGTTTATGGGGTCTTTGTGTAAATAACCAAAAAAAAAATGAAAATTTTGAAAGCCACATCTTAAAAATTGCTTTTAAAAGTCCCTAAAAATTAAAGAAAAAATTGTATTTAAGTGCAAATAATTCAAAATAATTATATTTTTATAAAAATGCAAGTCGAAATAAGTGAGTTGTGTTTCATGTCACAACTTTTATTTATACTGAATACAAAATTATTTATACTATAAAAATATAGTTATTTTGAATTATTCTCATTTAAATATATATATATATATATATATTCTCAAAATTATGGGGTGGTTTGGCATCCCAAAATAAGTACACATTTTTTATCTTTTTATTTTTTTGGATCACATCAATCAACATTTTTTCTCTATTTTTTTACACAATTTTTTTTTATAAAAAATTAAAAA